TATTAGTATATAGTAGCCGGGAGTACATTTTAGATATTTACCTTAAAACGACACATACTAATGAGAATTAATATAATGGTGGCAAACGGTGCGATATCATCGGCGTATATCATTTGATATTTCCGTAAAAACTTGGTGTTTCTTGGATAGTAAAAGAAGTACATAAGAAGGCTCCATTTGGCCAAAGCATACAGGCAAGAAATATATGTCCTAAGTTGTCCAACAGGATATTCGAAGATACCCAAATTGCAGAATCCGCCGATGGTCATTAATGGTGCCAGCGCTCTTTCTAGTGTCTCTGTCATAGTTTTCGAGTGGTCAGCTAATATTTTAACTAAATTAGTTCTTGCTGTTCGAGATACAAACACGTTTTAATATTTTTTATAAGATTTTCAGAAATAGTTTTCGCAGTTTCTCTAAGAACGTTGTGAGAATTACACTGTAAGATATGTACACTGGGAGATATAACGTATTTAAAATGCCGTTTAACCAACAAGTATTGAACAACGGAATAGACACACAGATAATCTAGATTAGATTGTCTTTCATTTCACGGAATTTTTATTTATGTATAGGTATGTATATTAAGGCCACTAGTTATGGATCACCCTTGAAAAAAAATTCATATTTTTATCTAGACCGATATCAAACATTTAATGAAATATTTAATACTTATGATCGATCATAAATATTACATAATGGATGATTTTATTTAAAATCGGTACTGTTTGATATGTTTTAACTGTAATTAAGTGAAGTAATGACAATTGTACACAATTAAACCCCATGTACTACTTGCGGATCAGTTCCAAATGCTTTATCCTTTTTGGATTTAGTTTTAATTGAACATGATATTGACTTTTTTCATGAAATTTGATGCTATTTACTACCTCCTGTAAAAGCCATGATATAATTCTGATGATATTAGACTTTGAATGAATTTTTATAGGTATATATCCTACTTTATGTCTCATGTTTTATTATTTAACGACGTTAATAAAATGTGCAGTGTTATTGATAATAAATCAAAAACAATTGTCACTTGAAAAAGATAAAATGTATGCTAAAAAATCTTGTGATATGCGTTATTTCATAGAAAATACTATAATTATTGAAATATACAACGCTATAATTATTTAAATATATAATGTTGTATGACGTATGTATATGCCCTTCAACCAGCAAGTATTGAACGACAGAATGAGCACACAGATAATCTAGATTAGATTGCATTTCTTTTTGCGGAATATTTATTCATGTGTTATTATGAGGGATAA